GTGGTGGGCTTAGCTGGCTGTGATTTTACAAAAAAACCTCTACATAGCATGTGATAACAACTGAAGGTAATGTGAACGCAACTTCATGTTTCCAGTGTATTGCAGTGATGCTATGTTTGTAGAGGTATGCATGATATTCTGTGCTTGAAAATAAACCTAAAAGGTCTTTTCATCCAGATATCTAGCTATAAAAATACTAAGGATCATACAGTCCATGTACTTGAACTATGTGAGTGCCAGTAGATCCAATTATCTTTTGAATGTCTGCCACCCAACGTGTGTGTGTGTATATATATATATATATATAATTTTTTTTTTTTTTTGTGTGTGTGTTAGGGCTGGACGATATGGGCAAAATTTATATCACGATATATTTCTTAAATTCGGTTGATACGATATAATTCCGATATCGAACACTATTTTTAAAAAAGCCTCATAAAATCTGCCAAGAATGCCCACAACAGATGTCTGTACCAAAAAACTTCTGAAAAATGAATTTTCTAAGTCTATGAAACATCCTCCTATAAAATTATATAATATTTAAAGAAAAGAAGAAAAAAAAAACAGCACAAATAAATGAATGTTTACCTTATAATCAAACTATAGGCTGAAATACACTACCAGTCAAAAGTTTTTGAACAGTAAGATTTTTAATGTTTATTAAAGAAGCCTCTTCTGCTCACCAGCCCTGCATTTATTTGATCCAAAATACAGCAAAAACAGTAACATTTAGAATTTTTTTTTTTACTATTTAAAATAACTTTTCTATTTGAAAATATTTTAAAATGTGATTTACTCGTGATTTCAAAGCTGAATTTTTAGCATCATTACTCCAGTCACATGATCCTTTAGAAATCATTCTAATATTCTGATTTGCTGCTCAAAAACATGTTGAAAACAAATGAGTAGATTTTTTTCAGGTTTCTTTGATGAATAGAAAGTTCAGAAGAACAGCATTTATCTGAAATAGAAATCTTTTGTAACATTATAACCTTTTTGATCAATTTAAAGAATCCTTGCTAAATAAAAGTATTATAAATCAAATAAAATTGCAGCGCTAAATAACATTTCTATAATTTCCACAAAAAAAAATTTATACTGACTCCAAGCTTTTGAATAGAATAGTGTATAATGTTATAAAAGCTTTTTATTTCAGATAAATGCTCATCTTTGGATTTTCTATTCATCAAAGTATCCTGAAAAAAAATACTCAACTGTTTTTAATATTGATAATCAGCAAATCAGAATGATTTCTGAAGATTTAAAATAATTACAATTTTAAATAGTAAAAATAATTCAATTTTACTGTTTTTGCTGTACTTTGGATCAAATAAATGCAGGCTTGATTAGCAAAAACATTAAAAATCTTATCGTTCAAACTTTTGACTGGTAGTGTAGGCTGATTATTCTTATAGATTGAAACAAATGTGCTTCAGCCAGTAGAAAGAATATATTCAGAAAGCAAAAAAAATTGAGCAACAACAAAAACATGTTGCTGGAGACGGGCTTATTATTGAAAATGCAAATTCATTCTCTGCCAGCAGGAGGCGCTTTTAGAGTGATAAAACCACAGACAGTAGCGGTTTCCCCAGTAACGGCTGTAATCAAAGCAGCTCCCCTCATGAATGCTACTTTATCAGATACAAATGAAAATGTTTTTTCCCTGTTGATGATTTTTTAAAAACCATATAATTCAATCTTCCTGCCGTGTTTTAAACCCAAACAAAAGAAAATGTTTGTAGTAGAGATGGGACGTTTGACACCGCGAGGCTCCGAAGCCTGTTTTGCTCTATTGAAGCAGACTGGTTCGAAAGACTGTCAACACCTGAAGCGAGGTGACTGATTTGAATCTTTGGCGCGGCTTCATTCATTGTCCCTCCCTGCTTCATAGTAACATAGTAACACGTTCATGTGTGGACAATGATTCTCAGAATGAAGACACAGCTGCTAATGCTGAGTAATTGCTTTTGTGTTGAAACTGGAATCAACGAGATGTGTGAATAATTTGAACGTGGCTGCTATAATTGCAACTAACCACTAGATGTCACTGGTAGGGTCTGCCTTTGAGGCTTTGAATGTGTTTTTGGTACAGTCAGGAAAAAGCCTCAAAAGCTTCATTTGCCCATCTCTAGTTTTTAGTATAAATATTGGCCTAAAGATTTAAACAACAATCTTAATTTTCCTTTATATGTTTATAACATTAAAATCAAATGATTAAATGTTAGCAGCTTGTGCTGGTCATAGCACGAGGCCTATCTGAGTAAGTGGTAGGTTAGAAGCTGCATCAGCCTGTTAGCCCTAAATTAGCTGATCTTTTGATCAGATACTGTAACTGTCTACTTGGTGTCAGATATACAAACACACAAGTGCATGCACACACAGGCATATAGTACAAATGATTTTCATTGACAAAATATGTGTTGCATAACAATAGGCTATCCCTTTTACCGGGTATAGCTGACCCACATGTGCATTTTTGTAAGTAAAGTTAACAATGCATGCTTAGCTGAAAACTCAAAGAATGCAGACAAGGTCTGCTTTTGCTGAGTGGAGGAATTTTGCTCAAACAAGGTTGGTGTAGAAAGCATGCTTAAAAGCAATTGTAAGTAAATCCAAATGCCATTGAAAAATACCAATACACCAATATTCAAAATACCACTTTGTTCTTGGTGCTATAGGTCACTAAGGTCATGGGTTTGACTCCCAGGAAATATATAGAATTATAAAATATGCATGCATAAGTTTTTGTAAAGTAGCTATTAAAGAAAATCTCATCCTATTTAGGGTTGTGCAAATTATTATTGAAAAAAAACTATCCACTATCTCATTCTGACTTGCAATGTACACATTGTTGAATAAGGCAATATTAAAGATAATGCAATGTGGAGACAGCTGTCAACTTTACAATTTAGCTACGCCACACATTTCCACCCTTTGGTTTGCATTTATCATAGTGGTAGATGCAACACCTGTCCATTCTTTAATCAGTTTGCATTGATGTAGAAAATAGAATATGGAATTAATGCAAAGACACTGAAAGCACTGGGGCTCCAGGTGTGACAACTGCAATAATGCACAGTCACCCCTGAGGAATCACTATGAGCTTTTATTGTGAAATCAAGTAATTTTGTCCTCTTTTATACAAAAGGCACTTCACTGCATAAAAAGTAAATCAATGAATCATGATGAGATTGTTCACTTGATGTGGATTTTGCTAAAAATAAAAGGCTGAAATGGTATTTGGCTGAGATAAATGTTAATTTGAAACCGAACACAAACATCTTGTTCATGCTGATGTATTAACAATATGGCAGCCATTACAGAATACAGATCACCATTTTTGTCGAATGTCAGATTAGTTGCAGTTGACTCCTTTTTGAAAACATGAATGACTATTTATTACCTTATGCAGAGAAGGCCCAGCTGCTTCTCCTCTTTGCCAATAATTTTGCGCAATTAAGTTTACCTCCCAAACCCCCTCACACACACCTCCCATGCTGACTTACCAATGCTGTGTAGACTCTTCTTAGTCAGCAAAAAGCTGACTGAAAATATATCAACACCACGGTTATGCCAGAGAATAAGCTATGGTCAAATCTATCAGATACAAATAGGCCTAATGCTCAATATTTATTACAATAAATATTGATAAATCCAGCATTGTGTCAAATAATGGATTAAGTCTGGTTTCCATCTATCGAATGGTCACAAAACAATAAATCTGTACAGTGTTAATGTATTTTGCATAATGCACATGTATTAAATGCAGCAGCAGCAATAAATAATGTAGCTAAAATAAGGGAAATAATCTCAAATTATTCCTTTCCAATTACTTAAAATGATGGAGAACTATTAAACACATCACACAAGAGCTCGTGTGGCTTTGTCAAGTGAATTACAAAACGATGGACCTTCGGGAAAATTATGGATTTTTTTCTTTCTTTTTTACTACATTTTCATAAAAACAAACAAACTGATTTTGACAAATCATTGGAGCAGCTGTGAAACCCTATCAAAAGATATCATTTTAACTTATGTCTGCAAAACAAAACTCTTATAGCACAACACTGGCTTCCACCACATAGCCTGAAAAAGTTGTTAATACAACTTCGGGACATCATATCCACGGCTCGGGTGAGCTTAGAAACAAATCTCTACATTAAAGATCTACATTATAACTGCTGAGAAGATCTTCAAGTATATTGCACAAAACAACGATCATGGATCAGCCTTAAAACTTTTTATTTAGGCCTATTTAAATGTATGTATTTATTCATTTTTCTTACACTTTCTTGATTGCTGGGATTTATGTTTTATAATTCCCGTGGCTTTGGTTTTCTGTTGATTTGCTATATGTAGAGGGAGGAAGGGTATATGGGGAAGTTGAGCTGATGTTTTCATGTTTGCATTCTGGTTTGTGTATTGTTAATACAAAATATTTCATTTTAAAATGACTTTAATTTCCTTCCATTTCTTTAAAATATACATTTTCGTATTTATTATTGTTTGTTTGTTTTTAGGTTTATTATAGGCATATATTTTAATTTATGTGAAGTATCAGGTGGTATGAGATTTATTTTTTTTTAACAACAAAATGTTTTCATTTTGACAAAATAATGAGAAAACCAATTAAATATCGACCATCTAACTCCCATTGCTTTGAAAGTGGAAATGTTGCTGTTAATTAGCTAAATAAAGAAAATGTTTGGAGAAGAATCAATAAGCAAGTTTTGCTAAATAATTACTAAAAAAAAACTAATAAATTACAATTCCGTAATTGTATACAACACATACTGCATAACCGATAGGGGTACTGCTATCAGTAATAAAAATATAACACAACAGAATTTTAAACAACAACAAAATATATAGGATGAAACCGCTAAGTTTCAGTAAACTCTGTCGCGAGGCAGCGTTTGTGTTTAAGGCGCTCGCGGTGTGCGCCACTGTTTGGGTCTCCATGCGGATGTGACATTTCAGAGAGCAGCGCGACCGCCATTTTGAGTTTTACCAACTGAACATCATAAACCACGGGAGCGGGTGAGAGAGGTTCTGGCCGTGACCGGGCAAAATTACCTTTTCTCCTTTGAATAGCCTTTGGGGATGCAGCTTCGGGGTGAAATCGAGCGTTAGATGTTCAGGTTAGTTTCACTTGTGATAACGGCTAGGCGAAACGTGGGCATCTTTGTGAGTTTGAACTTCTAAATTAGTGCGATTTCACATTAGAGTCTGGTTTGAATGGATAGGTTTTTTCCTCGCTCCCCCCCAGAAGAGGGACAATCGGAGGAGCACACGGACTGGAAATATTGCAGGCAAAGTTGTATTTAAAATAACCTCTCGGAGGCGCACGAGTCGCGCTGTTCCTTATTTTATCACTTTAGCTAGCTGCAGCTGGGCTATATCTGTGTTTTCCCCGGCTGCAGGTTGTTGTGAGTTGCATTCGCCCCTCACTTCTACGGGGGAAAGCCGGGGTTTCATTCATCGGGCCTTCGTTAAGCAGAAGCCCGAGGCCACCGACTAACCTTAGCATCCCTTCACCCAGGCGCCGAGATTGGGCGAATAGCGAGCAAATACGTCCGTGTTTCTCTGCCTGTTCACCCACCGGCCTCCCTTCCTCCATCCCCGGCGCTGACAGCAGACAAGGCCGAGGTCGTCTTAGCGCAGGCCCAGCCGCAAAGGCTCGACCTGTTTACCCCACCTCCGCGTCCTCCGACTCCCCAGCAGCCTCTGCCCGCGGAACCGCCACCAGACCGGCCCGAGGGAGACAAAGAGCCCAGGCACCATCCCATCCTAACAGCCGCCGACATGAACCACCATCACACCCAGCAGCAGCAGAAAGCAGGCGAGCAGCAGCTCAGCGAGCCCGAGGACATGGAGATGGAGGGTACGTCAAGGCCTCGTGCAAAATTAAAAGCTCACAGCCTTTCATTGAACATCACAGCTAACGTTAACACTCTAATCCAGATCTGTAACTGTTTATCTGTTCAATATTGACCCCAATAGCTTGTTAAGCTAGCTAGCAGCTAACCGTTAACTATGCGTTACCTCGCTGCATGAGGCGTTCAACCAGTCAGCAAAAAGTACGTCTTATTTTATTTACATACTCATTTGAGTCACATTACCCTGCTACTTTGTTGTTAAAAATCACACAGCGTTTGATTTACTTAATGCTGTTTGTGATAGTTATTTGAGCTGGATTGTCTTCTATTAGCGTTTGGCTAGTTATGTGCTGCCTGAATTAACGTGGCGCAGTCCATCTTTAAGCTCTTCTATCTACCGAACTGTGTCAGTTTTTCATCTGATTATGTAAGGAGCCCCTCGGTTACACCTGTAGATCCCGTGGGCAAATGCTCACAAATAAGCTAGTTATTTGGACGAACGAGCCCGTGTTCGCGTGCAGAATGGATGCATGTAAGTCGACGGTGTATTGTTTGTGCTGTAAGTTGTGATTGAAACTGCCTGAATTAACGTGGCGCAGTCCATCTTTAAGCTCTTCTATCTACCGAACTGTGTCAGTTTTTCATCTGATTATGTAAGGAGCCCCTCGGTTACACCTGTAGATCCCGTGGGCAACTTCTCAAAAGCATCCAGGGGCAAATGCTCACAAATAAGCTAGTTATTTGGACGAACGAGCCCGTGTTCGCGTGCAGAATGGATGCATGTAAGTCGACGGTGTATTGTTTGTGCTGTAAGTTGTGATTGAAAAGACAGGGAAACGTTTGCTGTCGAAACGGTCCTGCAAGAGCACTAAACCGGCCATGTATCCTAGTTCACGATTTAATCTGGCAGTTTAGTGGTTTTTCAGAGCATCTGCTTGTTTAGACATTCCTGAAACTAGTTGCTGCTTCATTGAATGACTTTCCTCCATTGTCAGCAAATTCTCGTGTCCCGCCACCGTGTTTTTTAACTGTTGAGTGCTAATGGAGGCAGATAAACCGCATCAGATGATGATTGCTGGACAACAGCACCATTTTGAACTATAAGTCGCTCCTGGACTACATACACGATGGCAGGCTTTCTGTGCGATGCCTAATCGGTTAAATTGCATTTAGCTGTTGCAATGTCTTATTAATGTGTTCCTGTTGTTATTGGCTTCGGATGCATTCCGCATAGGAAGTTGTGCAGCTCGATTAGGGGGAGTGGATGGCAGTTTTATTCCAAGATGGTGGACCGTATTTTGCACGGATCGGTTTCTGCGAGGCCTGCTTGCGTCGGTGTTTGTTTATATCTGGGTGACGGCGCGTGATGGCTCACCAAAGGATCCGCGAACCAAGTAATTAATTTGCTCATCGGATAGTGTCGGATGACACGGTTTGCCGAGAATAAGAGCTCGGTTTGCGGAGGAAAACGTTAGCAGCGCGGCTAGCGTTATATGTGTGTGGAGGGGGAGGGGGTAAACGAGCGGATCAACTCAGAAACGAGTCATTAACGTAGAGTGTTTTTCTCAGTGACACCCTTATTGTTAATAATATGGGGTGAGTACCTATGCTGTCAGTAGTAAATATAGATTTGATATGTTTTAGGCATCGCAATGACTGTGCGTCAAGGCCAGCGCGTGGGGATTTTCTGCTTCTTCATTGAATAACGAGTCATGCTGTGGTACCGCTCGCCATTTTTAGTGATTGCTGCTTGCTTGTTTTTTTGGCTCGTGCTCACCCGCGATCGCGGTGGTAGCACTTGAAAGGCCTCGGAACATGGTTGCGATTTCTTACTCGGTGCGTTTCTGACGCTAATTTTCGCGCTGCGTTTCATCAAAGTTCTGCAGTGCACGTGTGGGGGCGTTTCTGATGCTGCTGTCCGGAGACCATCAAGACATGCACATAATCATCACGCCACATATCATATCACAGGCCTAGGAATGCGCGAACGAAGCGCTGCGTGCTGCTATGAAGCATGCAGGTTGGCCTGTTTTTAATCTCACTCATTCAGGCCTTTCACTGAACGGCAAAATGTCTGGTTCACATTGCTGCATCTTTTTTTCTAGCCAAGAACCACCCACTTAGGAAGAGAACCTGTCTGTTATGTTTTTACATGCGTTTTATGCTGTCTTTACGTGCTATTGCAAATGTCCTACTCTCCACTTCTAAAGTGGCCATGTTCAAGTGCTTTGTTGTCTGAAAGAATAGGAATCATGCAGGACACCAGACTCATTCTTGCCTATTTTGGGGGGAAATCTTATTAAAGGCAAAATGTTTCTAAGCGGTTTAGTTCAAATCCAATGGATTTTAAATTTAAAAAAAAGTTGCATCTCATTCATTAATTGCCATTTATACATTATCTACACTATCTGGATTCTGGCGATTAAGAGATCCTGGACTTTCAGGCAAATTAATGTGAATATGCATCAAATGGTTATTTATTTAGAGAATATACATGCCTGTAATGGCAAGAGAAAGCCGTGTAGATATTGTGGGGGAAAATGAATAAAAATTTCACTACAGCAATCATTTTCTCCTGTGCAGTGTTTAAATGTTATGGCCTGTCCATTTCGGAAACTCGGGTATCAGAATTTTCTCATGACACGCCCCCAACTCACAAACTCGGGTTCAAAGTAAATCTAGAGTTTTCCACTTGTAATTATGACATTGTGGTGTGTGCTTTAGTAAATATGATATTTACATCATCTTAACATAGTGTTTATAGACTACCTTGGACTGTTGTGAGCATAATTTCAGATGCCTTCAGTAGTGCTTCAGAATCTTTGATGGTTATAGATGCAGATTTTGCTCTGTCACTTAATTCTCAGTGGTTTAGAATTGTGGTGTCTTTTTTTCCCTTTAGTAAAACGTATATATGAGGGTATGTGAAGTAAGTAATTGTGTAGAGCTACACATGCTAAATTCTGATTGATCATGATTCGTTTTTTGCTGAAAGATGCTCCTGAATGCATTTGTTTACCTGTTGCACAGTGGATCTGTGGCACAATAATCAGAGTGAGATTCCAAGAAATCTTATGGCATGGAACCAGTTGACAAGGGAATTTCCCATTTCGACTTTTTTTTTTTTCAGCTGGGGACCCAGATGATCCTCCAAGAATTCCCCAGAATCCAGTCATCAATGGGAACGTGGCTATGGCGGATGGACACAACAACACCGAGGAGGACATGGAGGATGGTAAGAAACACATTGAAGCGCAGTACCATGCACATTTTTACACATTTATTTACATTTTTCAAGTTATGAAAGAACATCTGCATATGTAACTTTTTTATATGTATATATAACACTTCTTAATAGACACAAGCTGGCGCTCTGAAGCCACTTTCCGCTTTGTGGTGGAGCGCTTTAGCAGGCTGAGTGAGTCTGTTCTCAGCCCACCCTGTTTCGTGAGAAATCTGCCCTGGAAGATCATGGTGATGCCCCGCTTTTACCCAGACAGACCTCACCAGAAGAGCGTTGGTTTCTTCCTTCAGTGCAATGCTGAGTCAGACTCTACGTAAGCGATCACTGCCATGATCTTTTCTGGTATAGCAATTTCAGTGATGACCTTGCAATAATGGACTTTAAAAAGTTAATTTAATAAAGTTAATACACTTTGGCTTTTTCAAAATATTGAGCAGGTTTCTTTATTCTGGGTGTTTTTAAACCAAACCTAATTTGATTCCTCCTCATTTGAAGGTCCTGGTCATGTCATGCTCAAGCCATGCTCAAAATAATCAACTACAAAGACGATGAGAAATCCTTTAGCCGCCGCATTAGTCACCTGTTCTTCCACAAGGAAAACGACTGGGGCTTTTCCAACTTCATGTCATGGAGTGTAAGTTTACATGTTTTGTATGAATGTCTCTGCTGAGCTGGTGTTATCAGAGGTGAACGGAGCTAATTAGCTGATGTTGGTTGATTTCAGGATGTGACCGATCCAGAACGGGGCTTTGTGGAGGATGATAAGGTCACTTTTGAGGTCTACGTTCAAGCTGATGCTCCTCACGGTGTGGCGTAAGTCATTTCTTAGTGGCTTATGTTTTCAAAGTTGATGAGCTTTTGCAAAGGTAGCTGATGTCACTGTTTTACTTACAGCTGGGATTCAAAGAAACACACTGGTTACGTGGGGTTGAAGAATCAAGGAGCCACGTGTTACATGAACAGCTTACTACAGACTCTCTTCTTCACAAACCAGCTTCGGAGGGTGAGACATCTGCCTTTCAATATCAGAATCAGAAGATGTTTTGCAATATTCCTACAGAATGCAGTATGTACCGATAAGCAGATGAGACTTGGATGGGTACAGTTTAATGAATATTAAAAACAATTCCTATTCTGCAAATTGATTTTCCTTGCTGTAAGATCCAATGAAATAACCTACTTTCCAACTGCATCCCTCACCTTACCAAAATGGATGCATTATGTTGAGATGTAGTTTGTGTTCAGGTGCAGCCAACTGTGGCAATATTTTGAGTCTTTTATTGGTAATATTTGGTTCCTATTAGAGTCGTACATGTCTCCGGATGGGGATCCACTTTATGCTGGAAAGAAAATGTGAAATAAGAGAAAATCTTGATAATCATAACTGGTATCAGTGTGTCCATGTGCTGGCAGAGCACATTTTCTCCACAGCAAGCCCTGTTATTAACAGGCTATAACTTTCACCACTTGTTTTTATGAATAAGAACATAGAACAATACAATCATGGCAGTTTTTATACACTACTATTCAAAAGTCTGGGGTCAGTATTTAAAAAAAATAATAAAAATAAAATCTCTTATGCTTACCAAATCTGCAGTTCATTACCAAATCAATCAGTAAATCATACAGTATGAAAACTACTTTTAAATGTTTTCTTTTCGAGTTACATACATTTGTTTGCTTGTTTATTTATAATTATTCTGGCAATGGCATTACTCCTGTCTAGGGTTGGAAATCGATTCCGATTCCAGAATCTGATACTTGTTGTCAAATTAAAATTTCGATTCCGCCTATCGATTCCTTTGCGCTTTTTTTCGTCATCTGTGAGGACCGGACCTAGCGATCTGCCAGACCTTGCTCGCTAATCTAAGCACTCCAAAGTTTGGCTACATTTGCGATCAGATGCCAAAAAAAGCTAAGTATAATATCTGTGATAGCTAAATATGTTGCAAGAGAGGTGTCACCACCAACATGACAAAGCACTTTAATTTAATAGATCGTTAAAGTTCGCGAACACCAAATTGATTCTATTCCTATATTACAATGATTCGTCTGTTTCATTCCTCAACCTTTGACGTGCGATCAATGTTGTGACCATTGGTTCGTCAGTGCAGCGTACGATCACACCAGTGTGATTTGAACATTTAAATCTGCCACGAATGAAACCGCTTCAGTCTTTTCAGCCACACAGTATCATTATTTCTGTGTTACAAACATTCAAATTACAGAAGTACTGGGATAAAAGTTTATAGTTCAGATATAAACTCTGATGTGTACGGTAGCAATTAAAATGGAGTAAATCACCTTTTGAAAGTAATTTGACACTTCAAATGAAGATTTGTCGATTACATTGTTACGCCAGTAGGTGGCGAAAAGGGGCTGTTAAAATGTATGATTCAAAGACAAATACAAGAGATTCGTTCAAGAACGCTGGTTCATCCAATAATGAAACGAGTACATCTTGTCATTGAATCATTGAGTCATTGAATAATTTATTCATAAATTATGTGATTTTGTTTCGTTGTCTAATGTTTTTTTCTTCAGATTCATGAGAGAACCACAATGTCCATTGGGGCAAAAAAAAGGAGAAAAACTAAATTTATCCAAAATCATGCAGTTCTATTTTGCGCACTCAAACGGCTCTTAAAGAGTCCAGTTTTTAGGTAGCCTGTTGATTTTTGTTCATGATATTCAGCTCCAATAAATGGTTTGCAAAACAGAGATACAGGATAAATGTCTGATATCATTATTTAATCACATTGGAATCGAAACTGGGAATCGATAAGCGGAATCAGAATTGATTAAAATTCAAACGATGCCCAACCCTACTCCTGTCTTTAGTGCAGGGATTAAAGTTCTCCGTCGCTATGATGGATTTCCGTTAATTGCAGCGAGTCTACAACAGATTTCCATCAATTGGAAAAAATGAGGGGAAAAGAAACATTTAGTGCATTGTTGTTGTACCAAAAAACATCCCCGCCACGGCTGCAGCTTCTCGGTGACAACATAGTGATGCATCATTCACAGTCGGGTTATTAACAGAGAACACAGAGCAGAACTTGAATTTTGGCGCCGGATTTCTGCTATTAATAACAATTCTACTCATTCCGCGCTTATAACACGATGACAGAACGTATAATTTGCACGTGCTTTTGAGTCTTGAGAACTCACTCGCGCACTCTCATTTTCTGTGTGCCCACAGATCGCGATAAGGAAAGTGACACTTTTAAGTCACCACCAACATGACAAAGCACTTTAATTTAATAGATCGTTAAAGTTCGCGAACACCAAATTGATTCTATTCCTATATTACAATGATTCGTCTGTTTCATTCCTCAACCTTTGACGTGCGATCAATGTTGTGACCATTGGTTCGTCAGTGCAGCGTACGATCACACCAGTGTGATTTGAACATTTAAATCTGCCACGAATGAAACCGCTTCAGTCTTTTCAGCCACACAGTATCATTATTTCTGTGTTACAAACATTCAAATTACAGAAGTACTGGGATAAAAGTTTATAGTTCAGATATAAACTCTGATGTGTACGGTAGCAATTAAAATGGAGTAAATCACCTTTTGAAAGTAATTTGACACTTCAAATGAAGATTTGTCGATTACATTGTTACGCCAGTAGGTGGCGAAAAGGGGCTGTTAAAATGTATGATTCAAAGACAAATACAAGAGATTCGTTCAAGAACGCTGGTTCATCCAATAATGAAACGAGTACATCTTGTCATTGAGTCATTGAATAATTTATTCATAAATTATGTGATTTTGTTTCGTTGTCTAATGTTTTTTTTCTTCAGATTCATGAGAGAAACACAATGTCCATTGGGGCAAAAAAAAGGTGCTTGTTTATTTATAATTATTCTGGCAATGGCATTACTCCTGTCTAGGGTTGGAAATCGATTCCGATTCCAGAATCTGATACTTGTTGTCAAATTAAAATTTCGATTCCGCCTATCGATTCCTTTGCGCTTTTTTTCGTCATCTGTGAGGACCGGACCTAGCGATCTGCCAGACCTTGCTCGCTAATCTAAGCACTCCAAAGTTTGGCTACATTTGCGATCAGATGCCAAAAAAAGCTAAGTATAATATCTGTGATAGCTAAATATGTTGCAAGAGAGGTGTCACCACCAACATGACAAAGCACTTTAATTTAATAGATCGTTAAAGTTCGCGAACACCAAATTGATTCTATTCCTATATTACAATGATTCGTCTGTTTCATTCCTCAACCTTTGACGTGCGATCAATGTTGTGACCATTGGTTCGTCAGTGCAGCGTACGATCACACCAGTGTGATTTGAACATTTAAATCTGCCACGAATGAAACCGCTTCAGTCTTTTCAGCCACACAGTATCATTATTTCTGTGTTACAAACATTCAAATTACAGAAGTACTGGGATAAAAGTTTATAGTTCAGATATAAACTCTGATGTGTACGGTAGCAATTAAAATGGAGTAAATCACCTTTTGAAAGTAATTTGACACTTCAAATGAAGATTTGTCGATTACATTGTTACGCCAGTAGGTGGCGAAAAGGGGCTGTTAAAATGTATGATTCAAAGACAAATACAAGAGATTCGTTCAAGAACGCTGGTTCATCCAATAATGAAACGAGTACATCTTGTCATTGAGTCATTGAATAATTTATTCATAAATTATGTGATTTTGTTTCGTTGTCTAATGTTTTTTTCTTCAGATTCATGAGAGAACCACAATGTCCATTGGGGCAAAAAAAAGGAGAAAAACTAAATTTATCCAAAATCATGCAGTTCTATTTTGCGCACTCAAACGGCTCTTAAAGAGTCCAGTTTTTAGGTAGCCTGTTGATTTTTGTTCATGATATTCAGCTCCAATAAATGGTTTGCAAAACAGAGATACAGGATAAATGTCTGATATCATTATTTAATCACATTGGAATCGAAACTGGGAATCGATAAGCGGAATCAGAATTGATTAAAATTCAAACGATGCCCAACCCTACTCCTGTCTTTAGTGCAGGGATTAAAGTTCTCCGTCGCTATGATGGATTTCCGTTAATTGCAGCGAGTCTACAACAGATTTCCATCAATTGGAAAAAATGAGGGAAAAAGAAACATTTAGTGCATTGTTGTTGTACCAAAAAACATCCCCGCCACCAGTGCAGCGTACGATCACACCAGTGTGATTTGAACATTTAAATCTGCCACGAATGAAACCGCTTCAGTCTTTTCAGCCACACAGTATCATTATTTCTGTGTTACAAACATTCAAATTACAGAAGTACTGGGATAAAAGTTTATAGTTCAGATATAAACTCTGATGTGTACGGTAGCAATTAAAATGGAGTAAATCACCTTTTGAAAGTAATTTGACACTTCAAATGAAGATTTGTCGATTACATTGTTACGCCAGTAGGTGGCGAAAAGGGGCTGTTAAAATGTATGATTCAAAGACAAATACAAGAGATTCGTTCAAGAACGCTGGTTCATCCAATAATGAAACGAGTACATCTGGTCATTGAATCATTGAGTCATTGAATAATTTATTCATAAATTATGTGATTTTGTTTCGTTGTCTAATGTTTTTTTCTTCAGATTCATGAGAGAACCACAATGTCCATTGGGGCAAAAAAAAGGAGAAAAACTAAATTTATCCAAAATCATGCAGTTCTATTTTGCGCACTCAAACGGCTCTTAAAGAGTCCAGTTTTTAGGTAGCCTGTTGATTTTTGTTCATGATATTCAGCTCCAATAAATGGTTTGCAAAACGGAGATACAGGATAAATGTCTGATATCATTATTTAATCCCATTGGAATCGAAACTGGGAATCGATAAGCGGAATCAGAATTGATTAAAATTCAAACGATGCCCAACCCTACTCCTGTCTTTAGTGCAGGGATTAAAGTTCTCCGTCGCTATGATGGATTTCCGTTAATTGCAGTGAGTCTACAACAGATTTCCATCAATTGGAAAAAATGAGGGGAAAAGAAACATTTAGTGCATTGTTGTTGT